CTTTAGCTATAGATGAACTAGGCAGGTGCCTAACGAAGAGCAGATTTTTGGGCAGCTGCTTAGGGTTGCAGATTCATTAGAGGCAGTGTGCTGCCACCTCCTGATCTACTTGCATTCATAAGCAGCAAAATGGAACTTAGGGATAGTTGGGCCCACTCCACACCCTTAGGTCCTTGGGTTGGGACACCAGGACAGAGGCACAGCTCCACCAGACACTGCTGGCTAAACGAATTCAAACTTGACACCTGGGGCACATGTACTATGAATGAAATACATATGGACAAGGAAAGAATTCTCCCCCCTCCCCCCGCAAAATAAGAATGAAAGAAAATAAGGCAATTGCCTTTTAAGGCTTTTAAAGTGTAAAATATGTTTTAAAATGTTGAGGTTTGTGACACTGATCATTTTATGTAGCAACTTATTTATTCAAAGAACAAAACAACTGTATGTTTCTTTCTTTAAGGAGTTTACATTCATCTCAATTTGTATCTTCAGTGCATGTTCTGTCTACTTTGTTCAAGGGTTTGCCTGACAGATGAGGGGAATATTACTACATTGCTCTGACTGGAAAACATCTGCAGAGCTCTCTGGGCCGAGCATGGGAAATGGCTTTATACCAGAATGTGATGTCACTGATACTTACTTTTCCAGGTGCCTTCATGTCAAGAGATCATATACTGTATTCCTTGGGAAAAAAACCTTTTACTTCTCATTCTTGGCTGTTGGGCTCCTCATGGCCTTTCAGTCATCTCTAGGCTTTACAGGGTTACAGCAGCTCATGTGGGGGCCCTGTTACTATATTCTCCCACTACAAGATGAGAGGGATAGCTCAGTGGTTTGAGCATTGGCCTGCTAAACCCAGGGTTGTGAGCTCAATCCTTGAGGGGTCCATTTAGGGATGTGGGGCAAAATCAGTACTTGGTCCTGCTAGTGAAGGCAGGGGGCTGGAGTTGATGACCTTTCAAGGTCCCTTCCAGTTCTAGGAGATGGGATATCTCCATTAATTTAATTTATTTTACAAAATCAAGTGTTATCTTTTGACTGCTGCTCTTAACTAGCAGCAAAAGCTCAAGCAGATCCTCAATAGCCAGTTGAAGGTGTTTCATTTATAACGGACTGGCAAGCATCACTGAAAAGTCATGCTTTGGTCTCCTAAATGACTGGTGATGGGACATCAAGAAACCACTCCAGTAAAAAGGACAGTTACCTGTTCCGTAACTGGCATTCTCGAGATGTGTTGCTCCTGTCTATTCCACAGTAGGTGTGCGTGCTCGCCACGTACACCGGTGCCAGAAGTTTTTCCCTTAGCAGCATCCGTAGTGGGGGAGCACTGCTGCGACCCCTGGAGTGGCACCAATGGCCCCCCACCCTCAGTTCCTTCTTGCCAGACAACTCCGACAGAGGGGAAGGAGGGTGGGATGTGGAATAGGCAGGAGCAACACATCTCGAAAAACGCCAGTTACGGAACAGGTAACTGTCTTTTCTTCTTCGAGTGACTGCCCCTGTGTATTCCACAGTAGGTGACGCCAAGCTATACCTGACGGAGGTGGGTAGGAGTTCTAAATGATAAAGGTTAAGGGTTACCTGGGCAGAGCACCGCCCTACCAAATCCAGCATCGTCCCTTGCTTGGGAGACGATCGCATAGTGCGATGCAAAAGTATGGACAGAGGACCATGTAGCAGCCCTGCAGATGTCCTGAATAGGGACATGAGCCACATAGGCCGCAGACGAGGCCTGGGCTCTCGTCGAATGCGCCTTAACAATAGGAGGCGGGGGAACCCCTGCCAGGTCGTAACAGGTGCAAATGCACGAGGTGATCCAGCAGAGTTGCTGGGTGGAAACCAATTGCCCCCCCATGCGCTCGGCCGTAGCAACGAAAAGCTGAGGGGATTTCCGGAATGGCCTTGTTCGATCTAAGTAAAAGGCCAGTGCTCTACGCACATCTAGCACGTGTAGGCGTTGTTCCTCATTGGATGAATGGGGCTTAGGACACAAGACTGGCAGGAAAATGTCCTGGTCCATATGAAACGCCGAGACCATCTTTGGCAGGAAGGCCGGGTTCGGGCAAAGCTGGACCTTCCCCTTATGGAAGACAGTATACGGGGGATCCGAGGTCAGCGCCCTAAGCTCCAAAACCCTACGGGCTGAGGTGATAGCCACCAAAAACGCCACTTTCTCAGATAGGTGGGACCAGGAGCAAGTGGCCAAGGGCTCAAAGGGAGGGCCTGTGAGGCGTGGCAGCACCAAGTTCAGGTCCCAAGGAGAAACTGGGGGTCTAGCATAAGGGAATGCTCTGTCCAAACCCTTTAAAAACCTGGAAGTCATGTGGTGAGAGAACACTGACTGTCCCGCCACTGGAGGGTGGAAGGCCGAAATGACCGCCAGGTGCACCCTGATCGAGGAGGGAGCCAGCCCTTGGGTCCTAAGGGACAGGAGGTAGTCCAGGACCAGCTGGAGCGGAGCGGATGCGGGAGAGAAACCTCTCTCCCTCGCCCATGAGGAGAACCGATACCACTTAGCCAGGTAGGCCCTCTGCGTGGACGTCTTCCTGCTTTCAAGCAGGACCCGTCTAACAGCCTCGGTACAGCTCCCCTCCTCCGCATCTAGTCACAGAGCAGCTATGCTATCAGGTGGAGCGGGGCCAGGTTGGGATGGAGGAGACTACCTCCCTCCTGGGAGAGGAGGTCCGGGCGGAGTGGTAGCCTGCGAGGGGGGGACACCAAGAGTTGCAGTAAGGTCCCGTTCCAATGTTGACGGGCCCAATCCAGGGCTATCAGGATCATTCTCGCCCCATCTGACTTCACCTTCTGACTTCACCTTCACCACCTGCCTATGAGGGGGAAGGGCGGGAAGGCGTACATCAGGGGCCCTGACCAATTGAGCAGGAATGCGTCCGTCATGGCCCCATCACCTTCTATCACCCTGGAGCAGAACCTGGGACACAGGCGGTTCTGGGTGGTGGCGAATAGGTCTATCTGGGGAGTACCCCACTGAAGGAAAATCCATTCTGCCACCTCCCTGTGCAGGGACCACTCGTGTTGTTGTGAGAACACCCTGCTCAGACGATCTGCAAGCGTGTTGCTCTTGCCGGGTAGGTGGAACGCTTGGAGGAGGATGTTGTGGGCTATACACAACTCCCACAGGAGCTGGGCTTCCTGGCATAAGGCCTTGGAGCACGTGCCCCTTGCCTGTTGATGTAATACATTACGGTGGTATTGTCCGTGAGGACTCTGACCACTTCCCCTTGCAAGCGCTGGCGGAAAGCCACGCACGCCAGACGCACTGCCCTGAGTTCCCTGACATTTATGTGCAGGGACAGTTCCTCGGGTGACCACATACCCTGGGTCCTGAAGTCCCCCACGTGGGCTCCCCACCCCAGGGCCGAGGCATCCAACACTAGATCTAGTGA